TTAAAGTCTTTCTGCAAGAATTTTAAACTAAGTTAAAGTTAACCTTTAAACTGTTATGACGGTCTCTCAACATTTTTCATTCATTACTTTTTTTTGAAACTTTAGCTTCTCAGTAATTTTATATATTTTATAAAAAACTGTTTGGTGACAATTGTTTCAAAGTTTAAAATTTTTATTTTAATATAATATTAATGAAAATGTCGGTCTGTGATACCAGTATTAGCCTTAGGTGTAAGCACGGGTGTAAGTAAATTCTTGTACACTCGTAGTGTACAGAGATGTCTAACGTGACGTCACCTACGTCGGTAAATTCACAGAAAGTAGAGTGATTACCACCGTGGTCCCAAGTTTCCATTGGCTTATATGGGAGATTTCAGAAATTAATTATTTTCTCTGAAATTAGAAAATAATTCATAATAACTATTTTTGTTTCAAATAAAATAGTAATTTATGCAATACGTATTTGCATATAATTGTCATCAATTCGGTTAAATGGAATATTTATTTTTCATATGGGTAATTTAAAATCAATAGAAAAACACAAAAAAGGAATAGCAGTCTGTTAAACCAAGAAAAGTACTAACATATAATTTTTTAGCATCGCGTTTAGCTTAAACAAATTATAAATGTTCTAAGTTACCATTTTCATCATATTCTGAGATAAAAGTAAAAAAAAAAGTTGATTATTTCGAGAGAAAGAATGAGAGAAGATATTAACGACGCTATGCTAAAAAAAATAGTTAGTTCAATTAACTCGAAAGTTTTAGCGAAAATGTCAGTTAACCTTAGACATTTCATACTGTCCCCCAGAATTATCTATATCTGAGATCTGTAACTATTACGAAATATATTGCACCTTTCGGTTTGAATTTAAATTTTTAAAGGAAAATTAATTATTATTCTTTTAAGGGGAGGCTACTACCTTTATTTTGTTATATTATTTTCTTGCATTATTTGGGTTCTTAAAACATACAAGGTGCTCAAAAAAAGAAAATCTTAATTTTTGACAATTTTAGAGTAGGTATATATTTTGAAAAAAAAAAAGATTTTTCCCTCCTAAACTATCAATCATTAAGTTTTCTATTCCTATACGTTACTCTAGACATTATGTACTATTTCTCATACCACGCTATCGTACAAATTATGAAATTAACTCTGTCATTAGTAGGCTATCAATAAAAGCGAATACGATTGCTGATGACATCGACTTTTTTAATATAAGCTTAAATGCATTTGGTACAGCACTGCGTAATCTATTATTTAATGATTAGTTTCTTTCTTTTTTACATAGCAGCGTTATATAGATATATATTATACAAATTGTATTTAAAGGGCACTTTATTTTAAAATCCCGTATAGAAATAAATAAATAAATTTTTCAAAATAGAACTACTTTCACAATTTTTATTATTTTTTGTCGAAAATTTTTTTACAAGCTTTTTTAATGATTGCTTAGAATCTCTAGCGCAGATTTTCAAAATTTTTAACAAAAAGAAAGGAAAAAATGAGTTGAAATTTCATTAATCTTCCCTTTTAAATATTTAACTACTTTTACAATTTTGACTATTTTTCATCGACAATTTTTTTACACCTTGTCTGTTTTAGGACTCAAATGATGCAATAAAAAAATATAACATTGTGCGATCATTAACATTTAAGGGGGTAAAAATAAAGGTGGTGCCTCCCCTTAAAGAATGAAAATAACATATTGTTCTAAAAAAATAAAATCAATTACTTAAATGAATTAAACAAGTTTAGAATATTGGCGATTCAAACAGCTACACTAGCGCCACAGTTGAACTAACGTAAGCGTGACTCGCTCTAAAGCAGTCTCTGTTTTGACAGTTTATTTCAAATTATTTAATTATTCTGATATTTTTATTGCGTTTGTAAAATAATTTTGAAGCGTTAAATAAAAAAAAATAATTTAAAACACATGGAGTGCTACAGAGCGAGTCACGCTTAAGTTAGTTCAACTGTGGCGCTAGTGTAGCTGTTTGAATCGCCAATATAAATTGGAAATTATTTCAAAATAAATATTTTTTAATCATTGAAAAGCATATGAAAAATGTATTAAAAGTATGTAATAATAATTTTCTAAAGTTTCATGACATATAATTGGATATAAATTTCATTTTACAGCCGAGACATCTTTTATTACATAAATATTACAATTTTACATAAATTATAAGTTGAAATAAAGCATAAAATGGCTTTAAAATACACTACATAATTAATTTATATTATTTATTTATAATATTAAAAAAAATATTGATATGCACTGAAAAAAATAATTTAATTTAATTAATCGATTACTTGACTATTATCAAATAATTATTATTTGAGTCAACAATACTCCAATTACTGGTTCAAATATAGTTCAGTTGATGATTAAAATGAAAATTATTTGGTGTAAGTAAATATTTAATTGATAATAGTAATAGTCGCAAAAAAGTGGTTTTAGTCGATTTATATTCTAAGAAAAGTCGAAAAAGTGTCGATTTTTTTCGTTTGAATAAATGTAATTAGTTAATAAATATTTTATTTCAAATAACTGTTGTTATTAGATATTAAATAAATTTTATTAATTCCTTAATAAGAATAATTCTATAGGAATTTAACAGTATCAAGAAAATTTATTTTGAATATCTCAGAATTGAACTAAGACAAATTTTCAAGGTTTTAATTAAGTAGGCCTAGGACAGATTTCTAAAAAAAAATTCTTAATATTCCATTTTTAAACAATTTTAAAATCGAATTCAAGCAAACTATTCTAATTCAAAATTTCGGCATAGTTTTTAGTTTTAATGGACAAAAACATTTCTGACATCAATTGAAATTTTGAAACTTTTTTAAATAAGGTAAATGCACTAGTAATCGTCACCTTAAGCCGAATTGACAACTTTAATTGTGTATTAAACAATGTTGAACGGTATTTCTAAACTAATAATTAATATTTACGAATAAATTAAAGTCTAAAGAAGCATAATTAACTCTTGTTTTTTAAAAATAGTATTATTGTTAATAATTATTTATAAATAAAGTTTATATAAATTTATTTATTTGTGTAAAAAGTTTTAAAATAATAATTTTATTTTATAAACGTTTTTATTTAATAAACGCGAGAATAGTTTAACGGTGTAGAATTTAAAAAATAAATTGTGAACAGTTTAAATATTGTGGAATTTAACTTTGTACAGTTTACCGTACGTATACAGTTTAAACGTTGTTGAGTTGAAATATGTAGTGTTTGAACAGTGCAATTTTTAATTAAAAATGTTTTCAATAATTCAATCTTCAAAGAATTTGATCAAAATTATTGGTTGACAAATAATTGAACAATTAATTCAAAATAACATTTTTTAAAATAGTTGAATTTCACAAAGTTTTATATTGAAAATTTTAGAAGTAATTAAATTTTATAAGGTTTTAAATTAAAATTATTAGAAGTACCTAATTGAATATCAAAAGATTACAAATTGAAAATTTTTTTAATTTCGGTGAATAATTAAATTTTACAGAATTTTTAATTTAAAAAAATGTTTTAAATAATTGATTTTTTTAAGAACTTGATGGTAATTATTGGTTGAAATTTTTATTGATTATTAAATTATTAAGTTGACATTTTTTTAAAAAACAAAATTATTGAATTTTTGAAAATGTTTATTTGAAAAATATTTTCAGTTAGATAATTGAATTTTTGAAGAATTTTATTTAAATTATTGAAAAATAATTAATTTAGCGAATAATTTTAGTTAAAAATTTCAATATAATCTATAACTCAGGTTCCAGGTAACAAATATATTAACATTTTAAATAATAAATAAATAAATAATAACTATTTTTGAAATAGATAATGATGAATATATATAGTTTTGGTTCCTTGCACATATAAGTATGTTTTGGTTGTTTATTTTTTTATTAATTTTTATTATATTTATTTTTTGTTGTAAACAATTTCAATATCAAAACCTTTTGTTTTGTTAATTTTCAAGAGGCTCCACATTGATACAGCGTAAAAAACTTAATTCGTAACAATGTTAAAGGAACTCCATTTTGTCATCTTTTCTTCATAACAAAGAGTGATAGATTCTATTGTGAAGTGAAATATTCTTAAATTGAATAAAGTAATAGAATATCAAAAGAGAAATATTTCTTTTAAAATATTTTTAATCTAAAACTTTTGTTAAATAAAAAAATAAAACTTCTTTCTGTTGGCAAATTTAATTTATGAAATAAGAAAGTTTAGATTTTTCATTTTAATTTATGAAAAAAAAGCTTTTAAAATTTATTTATTTAGTCACAAAATTGTGAATATAAAATAAAATTATGACGCATATGAAAAAAAGAAAAAATTATATTACTGATATTTGAGTCAGTATACATGAGACATTCCCCCACTTTTCATCAACCGCACAGTCCTTGACACTCGTGTGTCTCTTAATATAAATTCACAAGAAGTTTAAAAATGTACCAACATTTTATTATAAAAAAAAAAATGTTTTAAAATAAATTTTTCTTATTTTGAGTTTAAAAAATAAATTTAAAGGTTACAACTCTGTATTTTTAAAGCTCTATATTAAATAACAGAAACAATTATTGCATAAGAAGACCTTTCTATTTTTAGTCATAATATTTATGTTTACGTTGACAATTTTTATTCAACTATTATCGGTCAAAAAATAAAAATTTTTCAGTTGCAAAATTATAATGATAAATTTCTTTATCAATATTATTTACTATCTTTTAACTTGAATATCATTAAAAACTAATTTACTTGTAAAAGTTTTAATATTGGAATGGAAACATGTGACGTAAACAAAGGCGTTCCCGTGAGTTTTAATGCAGAGAAGGCTAATAATGGTGTCCAAAACATTTTTGACAGCTGCATATTTAGTAAACAAAAAACTTTTTTTAAAATTAAATTAGAAATTAATTTTTTACTAATTCGTTATTTTTTTTTAAAAATATGTGACATTTTTCAAACGATATAAACTCACCCCAACTACTGGCAGTCCTGCCCATAAAGGCACCGGTTTCATGGTTATAAAGAAATGTTCGTATAGACTGACCAACTGGCATTGATGGAGGTTTTTCATAAGGATTTGCGAGCTCAACGGCTGGTGTTTTTGAATCTTTGGCAACCATTGCGATTGAAGTTATTTGTGAAGAAAGAATAAATTAAAAAATATACATATATAATTATAAAAACTAAAGTAATTCTAGTGTTAACACTAAACACAAAAAATGCAACGATATACTAGTGAACGAAACTATAGTAATTGAAGGCGCGGTATAACACAATGTTTTTCGAAACGAAAGCCAAGTTTAGTAACTTCTCGGCGCCAACAGGTTAACTGAAGCTCACTGAATACAAAAGGTTGAAAGCGTTAGCTGCCTCTCCTATGCCCCACCACATATCTCCCACCATGACTCACAAGTATTTAATGCAAAGAACGGAACCGCTTCCTTGAAATACATATGTACACATAAAATATATACACATTTGTAAAATTTTATTTCAACGTTCCAAAATCCATATACTTCATCTAAATTGTCAAAAATAAAAACCAAATAAAAAATTTCAAGGTCGGTCATTTTTTTTTTCTAACATAAAACAGGGAACTTTAAATAACAATTTTCCAAATAATGTATAATCATTTTTAATAATTTTTTTCCGCCATTGTGTAAAAAGGGTGAATTTTCCTAGTCAATTGTTGCTTTGAAAGAAATAACGTTTTCGACGACCGTTACCGTTGTTTGTGTTTTTATTATTTTCAATTTCTTTTTCATTAATTTTATATAAAAAGTAATATTTTTGGATAATTTGGCCCTTAAAACAATTATAATATTATGAAATCCAAAAAACTTATTTTTTAAATCAAAAGAATAATATTATTTATTATTCTTGCTTTTTTAATAATAATTTAATAATTTTAATTAATCCCCGTAGCGGTTCTTTTTTTGCAGAATTTCCATTATACCTGTATATATATATTGTCTATATTACAGAATTGCTATATAACTGAAAATTTACTTCACAGAATTTCTATTCCTTCGAATTTAATTAATTAATTATTATTATTAATTATTTATTTAATTTAATTTTAATTAATCATTATAAGATCTTGAAAAGTTACTATATTTTTAAAATTAAATTTAAAAAACTGAAAAATTTTAAAACGGTCAAAAATCACTCATTTACCTAATGAATTTTTCTTTCATATAGAATTTTCCTTTAGCCGCATTTTTATTTGTTCAAATTTTCATTTAACAGATTTTCTATATTACAAAATTTTTAAATAACCGAACATTTACTTTACAGAATTTCTTCTATTTGATCGAATTTTTATTTTTGTCGCAGAATTCCCATACAACCCAAAATTCATTTAACAGAATTTCTATTGGATCAAAATTTGTTTATGACCACTTTCATTTGTTTGAATAAAAATTTTAGTAGAAACATTTGGGCGCGAATTTTAAAATTAACCAATAAAAATATTTTAGGTAATTTCTGATAGGTTAATTTTAAAATTCGCGCCTAAAAGTTTCCCACGATAGTAAATTCAAACAAATGTAAATCCTTTCAAATGAAACTGCGATCAAATAGAAATGAAATTAATCTTCGTTTATGAAGAATTCTGTTTATGAAATGTCTTTTATATGTATGGAAATTCTGTCAAATAATAATTTGAAGAAATGGAAATTCGTCTAAAAGAAAATTCTATGTAATATCTATTAAAAATTCATTTAAATGGCTATTATGTTAAATAAACATTCAAACAAATAAAAATTTTGGCAAATGAAAATTCGAACAAATAGAAATTCTGTGAAATAAATTTTCAGTTATATATAGTAATTCTGTAATATAGATTACCTTAAAATTTTTAAGTAAAATAATAAAAAAAGTCATGTTTTTTAAAAGTTTGTTTTTCAAAACATTAATAACTTTGGATAAAATAACGCTAGTACCAATAAATCAACAAAATAAATTTAAAAATACTCTACTTTTAAGAAAAACATTTTTTGGTTGAAATATTTTTTAAGATAAAAAATGTTTTTTCTAAAAATTAAAAAAGAAAAAAAAATACTTAAATTCTTAAACTTTATTAATCGGGCTCTCATTTGTGTCCCCCTATGAAATTTAAAAAAAAAATAAAAAATTAATGAAATTCTATCAAATCTTCAATTTATTGTAAGTATAATTTTTTTTTCTATCTCCTTCAATTTATCTCAATCTATTCCCTTCATATTCACTTGAATCTTTTTCAATCTTCTCTTCTTCCTTCCTCTTTTTGAATTCCCTTTATTCCATTTAATTCCTTCACTATTGACTTCATGTATTTTCTTCTACATGGGATAAATATTAGGGCTTTTTAGTATAACGCACTACCTACTCTTCTTATTTCGTATACGTACTCTGTCATTAGTTTTTAGGCAAGAACAATAAGCAATAATACCTGGACAAAGCAAAAATTGGAACCAGTAGATGGACAGTAGCAAAAATAAATTAAAATAGACCTCAAATTAAGTAAAAATATTTGAGATACTCTTTAGATAATAATTAGCTTTTAGGCAAAATAAAATTTATTAATTGTAGGAGTAAAAAAAATATAAAAAACAATTTTTCTACAATCGCTGTCACTGTCCAAGTTAACCTACCGCTTTAAATGTTGTACCCAATAGTTGGACAAAGATTTAATTCAGTTAACTCAATCATTTTAATTAATTTAATTAATATAATTAGTTTAATTATATTTTAGTTCAATTATTTAATTTATTAAATAATCAAAATAAATAAATAAATTTATTATTTAATTTACGCAAAAACTTTTTTTTATCAATTATAAGGTAAGTGTGTCAATTACGGCGCGTTCATAAAAATAACTATTATTACTATTATATTTAATATAACTGTTGCAAAATAATTTTTAAAAAAATTATTTTAATCTTTTTTGATACAATTACTAATAAATATGCATATTTAAACGATTATTAATTTAATTATTTGAGATGAAATTTTTTCCCTCGCCGTATTTGAAATATTTTTAAGATTTCCATTGGCTCCAATTACGGTGAGCAAAGTATCTTCAAAATACACGTAATTTTGGTCACTGTAATAATTGATACAACGAAACTGATAAAAAACGCGCCGTAATAGGAAATTACGGCATTAGTTTTAATTTGTCATATTTGTTTAAATAATCGATTTTTATAAAGTTAAAATATTTTTTAATATCTAAATAACATAACCTTTTAGTTTAATAAGTCTTAAATTGATTTTACGCAATAGATATGTTGAATTTTCTTTTTCAAAGGTGTTTTGACTCGAATCGTGCCGTAATTAGTACATTTACTCTACAAATTTTTGCCACAGTTTGACACTCTATTTTAGAACTGAAACTTTATGAAAAAAATTTTGCAATTAACATTTCTTTCATGCCAAAACTCGCTCTTTTGAATGATGCATATAACAATTTTTTAAAAAACTAATTATACTTGTTTTTTAAAAATAAAAACGTGAATGTTAGAGGTTTCATAAATACCCTGCGCTTCATTTAGTTGTAAAACTTTTTTATTTTTTCGAATTTTGATTTGGTGCACTTTGGAATTAAATTAGTAAAATGATTTGGAATACGAAAATTAAAAAAAAAATCGATTTTTTAAATTGATTAAAATCTGCAAATCATTCACAAATAAATGGTAGAGATATGATTTATTGTTTCTTTCTGAGTAGAATTTGACAAAATATTTACTTTCTTTCGGCTAAAAATTTCAGAAACATTAAAATTATCCATGTATTTGCTTAATAATTTACATTTTTAATCTATTATTACATTTAATCTATTATTATATTATATTATTAATCTTTTATTATATTAATTAAAACAGTAATTAATCATTTAAAAATTAGAGGGGCCTACAAAATTAAAAAGTGAAACGATATACTTGCTTAAATTTGTTTATTGACAAAAACCAATAAATAAAATGTTACATTGATTACGTCAATTAATAGTTTCCAAATCATGGGAAATATTTATTCTTTCTTTTCTCCAACATTTTCTAGAAAAAAGGGAATTAAAATTGCATGTAGATTAAAAAAACTGTATTTTTAAAAAAATTCATAACTCAAAAACACCTATTTCGATTTGGCTCTAATTTTCAGGAAAGACAGCTGAAAAGCTATACTTTAAAATGGTTATACCTAAAATTTGCATATTTTGAGTTTTTAACCATTTTTATGCAAAATAGTAAGCTAATTCAAATTTTTTCAAGGTTTCCTTACAGTATTTGCTTTTTGTGCGCATGCGCAGTTATATAAACAAAAACTAAGCCCAAATTCAAAATTCTCGAAAAATTTCCAATCAGTTATCTATATTCATACTTAATTTTTATTTATTCTAAACAAATTTTAACAGACAAACAAATACAAGTTATAATTAAGAGCATAACAAATATGAGAGTATTTAAAAAAAAAATTTATTTTTTACGTTTGTTTTTTCAACTTAACATTTTTTTCAGTTTGGGGATTTATTAATTTTTGATGAAAGATATTTTGTACAAAGAATTATAAAGCAGCATTTTTCTATTTTATTGTAATATAAAATTTATACTTTTTTTGGAAAATTATAATCTCATATTATCTGGCCTCACAAATTTTTTTGCAGATGTTCATTAAATAATTTAACAACATTCGTGTGATTTAGCCTGTACTTATTTGATGATTGACCTAAGGATCTATTGACGTGCAACATAATATTTTTGAGAATAGAACAGTCAAGACAGGTGACCATTCAAAAAAAGTGTTTACGCTTTTATGCAATGACTTTTTTCTGTTTACACTTTTCTCTTTAGATTGTACCTGTCTTGACTGTTCTATTCTCAAAAATATTATGATGCGTCAATAGATCCTTAGTTCAATCATCGAATAAGTACAGGCTAACTCACACGAATATTGTTAAATTATTTAATGAAATAAAAGTATAAATTTTATATTACAATAAAATGGAAAAATGCTGCTTTATAATTCTTTGTACAAAATATCTTTCATCAAAAATTAATAATTTCCCAAACTGAAAAAAATGTTTAGTTGAAAAAACAAACGTAAAAAATAAATTTCTTTAAAATACTCTGACATTTGTAATGCTCTTAATTCCCCATTAAAAAACCCTGTACAAGATCTTGTACAAGAAAATGTACATGTTCAGCTGCTGAACTTGTACCTGTTCTGGTAAGATCTTGTACAGGGATTTTCAATAGGGTTATAACTTGTATTTGTTTTTTCTGTTAAAATTTGTTTAGAATAAATAAAAATTAAGTGTGAATATAGATAACTGATTGGACATTTTTCGAGAATTTTGAATTTGGGCTTAGTTT